GCACGCAGACGCCAATACTCCACGCTCCACAGACAAACCGGCCCACCGCCGAAAAACACTTCAAAGAATAAAAACAAAAAAAATAATATCGAATTGTACGCTGCCGTTTCCACAGCCCACAAAAGGCGCCAAGACACCTTTCTGTGCGCCTCCGCAGGGGCGGGGCTTCCACTGCACACCCCATTCGTCCTCCCCCTTGCGGAACATATCAAGAAACAATACCACAGAGAATTCTCTCCTCTCCCCTCGCATTCGCAGCCTCCTTTCCTGCATGTCTAATGGCGGCTGCGGGGGATTTGCGAAATTTCCATCTTACGTTTACCTTTCTCGTCGCGCGTTTATTATTGTGGCCCCAACCAGTTAACTCTCCCGCGCAGAGGCACATCGTGTGCACAGCCACACCTGCCTCACCGCGCACATACATTGCGGCGACGCATGTACGTCTCCGTTAAATCAAAAAAAAATAAATAAATAAATAAATAAATACAAATAAATAAACAAAAAAAACAGTTCGAGAAACAAACAATAACCACGCATTTTCTGCAGGAATTAGCAGAAACACGAAACCGCAGGGGACAAGCTGCCGAATAATCAACGCCCTCGTCCCCGCCCAAGCACAACCCGCACATTATTGTTACTCTTTTGATTGCGTGTCTGTGCGAGGGGGAGGGGGGAGGGGGGGTTAGCTACCAATGCGCCCATGAGGAACGACGCACGGGACTTGTCTCCCCCGCCCCCCATCCCCTTCGCCCGGTTCACTATTTTTCCCTTCCACCGCAAACTCATTCACGCCTCGCCTGCCTACTGAATGTTGAACTTCTTGAAGAGTGCCTCAGACGTGGTGGACTTCGGGCGCTCGATGGGGCGTTGCTGCAGCCGGTCCCAGACAACGCCGCTCAGCACACCGAGCTGCCGCGAGAGGCCGAACAGAACCGTGTAGAACGCCTGCTCCGTGAGGCCGTAGTACTGAAGCACCACCCCAGAGTGGGCGTCCACGTTCGGGTAGGGGTTCTTCGACTTGCCGTGCTTGGTCAGGATGCCTGGCATGATGGAATAGATGGTGTCGACAAGGAAGAAGAGTTCGTCGTTGGGCAGGTGCTTCAGGCAGTAGTCGCGGAGGCAGATATAGCGGGGGTCCGGCACGCGCAGCACGGCATGCCCGTAGCCGGGCACCACACGCTTCGCATTCAGACGCTCCCACGTGAACTTCTCCAGACCCGCCTCCAGCGCCTTGCGATCCTTCAAATCCACGCCGGCCGCCTTGCACTTGTCCCGCATCTCGAAGAGGTAGGTGAGAACCTCCTGATTCGCCAAGCCGTGCAGTGGACCCGCCAGGCCGTTGAGGCCCGCAGAGAAGGCCAGGTACGGGTCGCTCAGCGCCGAGGCAACCAGAGTCGTCGTGTGTGCCGAGACGTTGCCGCCCTCGTGGTCGGCGTGGATGGCGAGGTACATGCGCATGCAGTCCCAGAAGTTTTCGTCCTTGAAGCCCAGCATGTTCACAAAGTTGGCGGTCCAATCTAGGTCACGGTTGCTGGGCGCCGCCAATTCCGTCTTGCCAGTCCGCATGCGGTTGTAAATCACAGCCGCCAATTGGGGCGTGCGGGCAATAATATCCAGGCTGTCTTCAAGGGCATAGTCCCAGTAGTTCGACTTGACGGCGCGGCCGTCCTCGTAGGCAGGCGCAAACTTGGAGAAGGCCTGGAGGGCAAGCACACCAGCGGAGAACTGCGTCATCGGGTGCGTGTGTGCAGGGAGTGCGGCAATGGCTTTCGTGGCGGCGGCGATCGCCTCACTGTCGGCGCGGCGGTGCAGCTCAACGTGCATCTCCCGCATCTGCTTGTCCGTGGGGGCGGAGCCGGTCATGAGGAGCCAAAACACGCCCTCCGGCAGCGGCGAGGAGCCCCCCAACCACGACTTGGGCAGCTGCTCGCAGCACTCGGGGATCGTCATGCCACGGAAACGAATGCCGTGCATCCCGTCGAGCAGCGAGGGCTCGTACACCAGGCCAGTGATCCCACGCATGCCACCGTAGGCGGCCCCGACGGTCGCATCGCTCAGCTTCTCGCCTCCGCACTTCTCCTTCAGGGCCTTGATCCTTGGAGCGTCAAGTTTGTGACGCGCCAGAATCGTCCCCTTCAATTCGTCGACGATGCTCGACTGTTGGCGGGCGGCACTGTAGACATTGAGGACGGCTCCAGCACGGGTGCAAAAGCGCAGCATCTTCTCTGTCGCTGTTGTTGTTGTTGGGTAATTTTCTTTGCTTTTATTCAGAGCTTGCAGGCGTATCCTTCCCGATGGGGGGAGGGGAGGGGGGATGTGTGCGGGCGCAAGAGGCAGCACGAGGGAAAAAGGAAGGGAGGCAGAGACGGGCAGATGCAGAGAAAAGCGGAGGGGGCGTAGCGGTGAAGGAACGACGGGGCGACGGCAACACGAGCACGCAGACGCCAATACTCCACGCTCCACAGACAAACCGGCCCACCGCCGAAAAACACTTCAAAGAATAAAAACAAAAAAAATAATATCGAATTGTACGCTGCCGTTTCCACAGCCCACAAAAGGCGCCAAGACACCTTTCTGTGCGCCTCCGCAGGGGCGGGGCTTCCACTGCACACCCCATTCGTCCTCCCCCTTGCGGAACATATCAAGAAACAATACCACAGAGAATTCTCTCCTCTCCCCTCGCATTCGCAGCCTCCTTTCCTGCATGTCTAATGGCGGCTGCGGGGGATTTGCGAAATTTCCATCTTACGTTTACCTTTCTCGTCGCGCGTTTATTATTGTGGCCCCAACCAGTTAACTCTCCCGCGCAGAGGCACATCGTGTGCACAGCCACACCTGCCTCACCGCGCACATACATTGCGGCGACGCATGTACGTCTCCGTTAAATCAAAAAAAATAATAAATAAATAAATAAAACAAATAAAATAAACAAAAACAAAAAAAACAAGTTACGAAGAAAACAAACAAATAAACCAACGACAA